CGTGGCAAGTGCAAGGTCCTGAGTTCAAGTCCTAGTACCAAAAAAAACAAATTGTTAAAAATGATGAGTGTGTGGGCCGGGGATATAGCTCAGTGGCATAAATGCTTGCCTGGAAAGCCTGAGGTCATGTGTTTGATTCCTGGTACAAAAAAAAACAAAAAAAAAAAAAAAAAAAAGATGAGTATGTATAAAGTTGTCAATCCCTGACAAATACTGAACTATTAGTACCTCTCCTGTATAGCAAGTATACATAAAAGGTTATGTACAGCCAGATTATTTATAAAGCTGCAAATCAAGGAACTATGGGGTTAACATAAATCTCTCCATATGGTGAAATACTCTAGAGCAGTTGTTAACACAAGAGATGAATCTACATCATGATGGAAAAAATAAAAACTATCAGAGGCACAAGTTATGTTAGCATAGTCAATGTGTAGTATGATACAGTTGGTGTAAACAATGAAGATAATGCCACTGTTGAATAAATGAATTTTGAATAAATATGAAAGAAAAAATCTGTAGGATCAACCTGAAACTTTAATATGTATCTGGATCAAGATTGAAAGTATTCTTGCTTTTTGCAGTAGAGTTTTTAGCCTGTTTGGTTTTTTTCATGTGCCTCTTACTTTTGTGGACCTTAAAAATCATAATAGTGGGGGCTGGCGATCTAGTTCAGTGGCACAGCACCTGCCTGGCAAGCACAAGGTTGTGAGTCCGATTCCTGGTACCGGAAAAAAGCCAAAAAAAAAAAAAAAATCATAATAGTGATGCAAACCACAAACCAATGGCTGCCATGGGCAAGACACAGAGAAGAACCCTGAAAGTGGGTCCCTCGCCTCGGGAGCAGATGATCAGATTCCTTCTGTCCCAGTAGTCACCAAAGCCTAGGGGTCACTGAAGGGGTCTCGGGAGGGAAGCTGGGTGCTGCAGAGGCTACAGGTGGGAGATAACTTCATCTCTGCTGCCATCTCATCAGCCTGGTTCCTTGTCAGTCTGATGGCTCCACCCTGCCTCTGTCCCTGCTTTCATGGTAAACTTTTTTTGTTGTTTTTTGGTACCAGGAATCAAACTCAAGACCTTGCACTTGCCAGGCAGGCACTGTGCTGCTGAACTATATAGGCGATGGCCCCTGGCCCTGCTTTTAGACAAATCCTTCAGTTAGAGAAAAGAGAGGGAGTGGGTGGGAGGGTAGGAGAAAAGAAAAAAGGAGAGGAAGAGGGAAGAGGTAGAGAGGAAAGAGAGGGGTGAGAAATGCAGCGTCCCTGCCTCTCCATGGCCCCAGGAAGTAGGATGCGGAACTGCTCTTCAGCTTTCTGTCAGGAGTCACCATGGAGACGGAGCACTGGTCTCCTCGTGATTAATACTCCCAGGCAGCTGTCTTCTTGGAGTCTTTTAAAATATATACACTATTATTTGAACACAATGATATTTACAGCAGAAAGATCAAGGTGGGGCATGGGAGAGGGAACAGGAGCATTTCCAGAGCTGTGACAGGGGCTGGACCTTTCCCAGAAAGGACAGGAGGGGCTGCCTTTCCTGCTGTCCTCTCCCCTCACGACCCCACATCACCCCCTGCCTATGGAGCTTCCAGTCTTTGGCACTGTGACGCCTGAAGGACCTGAGCAGCACCTGGCACAGGGCCGTGCTCAATGAACATTTGGTGAATGAGTTCCTTCATTCATTAATTCATTCAGCAAGTGTTTGTTGATTGCTTGTCTAGAAAGTAAACTCTCCTTCCCTCACCTGTGTTCGTGGAAATATGAAATTCATTCCCATTCTCCCCAAGGCTGCACACACACACACACACACACCCCACCACCAACCCCACCACCACCACCACCAACCACAACCACCTCCACAAGTTCCTAAGGACACAGCCCGCCTCAGCAAGGTGCCTGCTATGATCCTCTGCATGGCAATCACTCCAGGAAAGTCTTACAAGAATAGGCGCTGGCCAGATGGAGGTTGCATATCACGTTCTGCTTGAAAAGCTATAGGTAGGTTCTCCATCTAAAGCCATCTCACAATGAATCCCTTTGTAAAATGAAGTATCATTTTCTGAACTAGCTTTTGGAGTAGACTAGCCTCTGCTCAGCCCTGCCACGAAAGGGAAGTGTGACCTGAGGCAAGACATTTAACCTTTTTAACTCTGTTTCTTCACCTATAAAAATGAACCTGCAATTTCTTGCTCCAAAGACTTTAGCGATAGAATGTTTGTCAAGTGCTCAATGTATGAGTTCCCTTCTGTAGATGTATATTTTATATCTGAAGTGTGATTAAAGTGGAGTTAGAGGAGCTAAGCCCCTCTTCCATCACTTCCCAAAGACCTTTATTCCATCTGGGCCCAGAATCCCTTTTTAAGCTGTTAAAAGTCATGTGGAAGAGGAGCCGAACTGAGAAAGGCTATAAAATACTCAGCCTCCCCCATCACGACTCCTCCTTGTCCTTAAGGAACCAGTTGCAGGTGCAAATTGTCCTCCAGAGGCAGCCTTTGTGAGTGTGAGAATACGTGTCCCCGAGATAGGGGTGTGGGTCAGTCCATACCCAAAGCAAACTGTCTCCCTATCTCCTCTCTTAATCATTTCTATTCCCTAGCTCTGCCTCCAGTCCTGTCCTCTAACCAGAGCCAGTTCAGGTGACTTGGACACTTGTCCTAGCTCAGACCAAGCCCAACAGCCCTTGGCAGAGGGCAGCAATAGGCTGGCCCCTCACCAAAGGAGTAGGAGAATTATCCATGACTAAGTAGGAGGAGGAATGCTATGGCAGAGGGTAGAACAACAGAAGGGATGGGCAACCTGGGGCTGGCCAATCTGGCCCGACGGGGCGACCTGGGGAGCCCTGGACACCAGCCCAGCCAAAATCCTCCCCTCCCCCTCCCCCAAGCAGCAAGATACCAGAGTGGATTTGAGACATGTGTGCCCTGTGTGTCTAGTGTGGGCTCCCCTGGTCTTGGCAATGCATTTGGATTAGACTCAAAATCCTGAGTCTGAAATATGAGTATAAAGAAAATAGTGATCTGTGTGTCTCATCCTTAAACAACACTGAGTTTCTGCATTACCTACAGGCACATATATGTGCTACTAACATAGAACCATACACCTGGTCATTTATTAGGATATGCTGCAAGTGCGTGACTGTGAAACCCTTTGCATTATTTGCAGCCTTGAGGAGAAGGTGTGCATGAATGTGTCAGCATATGCTTTGCAGGTGATTGTGTGATGAGACAAATCAGTGAACACGTGTGTGTGGGGGGGTGGCTAAGGATGGAGATGGGCTTCTCCAGTAGAAAAAAAACATTAAAACTGTCTTCTAGCCTATAGTAGGCACTTAAAGAATGGACACTGAATGAATGAATGAATGAATGAATGAATGAATGAATAAGTATTGAAAACTTGAATGAATGGATGTTTACATAACAGAGAAAGTGATAGGCCTGAGAACTTGATGGGGTTTGGGCATTTGTGGACCCTCTCTCTTGAAAGGAAGTGGGATTGTGGAGGCTGGGAGATATATTGCCAGTCACACTGTAGCACACCACACATAAAGAGATTTATTTCCACCCAAGGAGAGTAGAACAGGAAAGGGGGCCCCAGACTGCCCCCCTCAACCTTCCAGCCCCCAGCATCCCAAGAACTGAAGCTCTTCATGAAGAAGACAAAAATGTAAAGCCACTCTACATATTAGGTATTTTCCTCATTTGGTTGGTTCCAGAAAGGAGTTAATGAACTAAGATAAAATAACATTTAAAAAAAAAAAGAAAATGAAGTGGAGGAGAAGCCACCGCAGAAGAGGGACCTAGAGAGAAGGAAGACAGATTTCTTTGCTAGAGTTGACTCTATGCTTCTGTAATAGAGATTCAGAGTCTCTATAAAGTTAAGGATTTTTCTTTTCTCTCTCAGAAGCAGCCAGATTATTCCAGGTACTGATTCTAACGAAATATTTCCTATAGAGTCCCTGTGTGCTGCTGGAAACAACATTTCTTCATTTACACGAAAGCCAAAAAAAAAAAAAAAAAGTCTACAGAAGCATTAAACAGGCAGCAGGAATTGGCCCTATTTCTCTGAAGAACAATTTGCCAAACATCAAAATTTTAATATCCTCTGGGCCACACTTGCACTCATCGTAATTTATCCCAGAGACGTGTTCACCCTTATGTAGTCAAAGCTGTTGACTCTAATACATTGGTAAAAACAGAGGTTGGAAACTGCCTATATGCTGTTGATAGGTGACCAGCTGACTGATGGTTCTGCCTTACAATGGAGTATTGTACAGTGTTGGAAGAGAACTGAGTCTTTGTGTTTAGACATAGTAAAACTTCTCAGATTTGTAGGTGGAAAAAAAGTATATCGCAGAACACTGTGCGTGCTTGCATATATATAGGGTTTTTTTCTGGAAAAAAAAAAAGAAAAACCCGAAAAAATTTAAATGTGGCTACCTCAGGAGATATGAAGATGAATGGAACAAGGAGAGACATTTATTTTTAAATTTGTAATATACGTTTTTGCAAATAAATAAGCATATAAGTATAACTTGAAAAAATAGACGCCTTTGACTAATTGACTCCCCCCACTTAAAAAAATCAACAAAATCTTTTTTAAAATGGAAAAATAGACGTGAACAAAAACCATACACAACAGCTTACTGGGTGTTCCTAATTTTATGTCCTCTGACTCAGTTTCCCTCCACTGCAAATTCACAGATCAGGAAAGAGTAAATGTAGTAATGGCAAAGGGCGGATTCGAACTCGAAAACTACGGAAGCTCAAAATCCTCGCAGTCCGGCCTCGTCACCCTCCAGCCTCTTCCTCCGGGCAGGCATCTCCACCTGGGGAAGTTCAGCCCCACTCGGCGCATAACCCCCGTCCGGCGAACCCGCAGCCCGGCGCGCACCGGGTGCCACGCTCGGGGTGCGCGCGCGCACGCAGCGGCGGCGGCGGCGACGTCACAACCCGAGCTTTCCTTTTCGGGAGTCCCCGGCACACATCCTGTGTCCATGTTTGGGCATTTACGTCACGGCGGCAGGGCCGGGGCCTCCCGAAATGGCAGTGGCCCGGGGAGTCGGAAGCCCGAAGCTAGCGCCGCCGCAGCTATATAAGTGGGGGGGCTGTGGGTTGGGGGAGTTGGACTGCGCTTTGGCGAGGCGAGGAGCCGCCGCCCGAGACCCGCGCACGCGAGCGAGGGCGCCGCGGACCCCCGACCCTTTTCCAAGAGGTGAACGCTCGAAGCCAGGAGCTCGGGCGCCCAGGTCTGCACGCCGCCGCGGGGCGCCGCGACCGCCGGCCTCCCCGCAACCTGAACGCCCCCAAGGCCAGCGGGCGAGGCCCCGGGCGCCCCGCAGCCGCCACCGCGCCATGCTCCACCTTGGCGAGCTTTCCGGCCCCGACGCGCTACTGCTCAAATCCACCGAAGGCTGTTGCGTCGAACCCAGCGCTGAACTGCCCCGGCTGCCCGCCAGGGACGCTCCCGCGGCCGCTGGCTATCCTGGAGGTAAGGAGCGCGGCCAGGGGTGCTCAGACGGCGGGGGCGCACCATGCCGGAGAATCAACAGGGTCTGGGACGCTGGAACTATGGGGCTGGGGAGATGGCAGGCTCGGGAGTCACGGAGTGCGCACTCCCTTTACCACCAAACACCCCCACCCCCCGCGCGCACACTAGGCCGCCACCACCTCCGCCCGAACCTCTGCGTTCATCGGGGCACCCTATTGCCTGTGCACGTGTGTTTTGCCTGTGCATGTTTGTGTGTGCGTCCTGGGGCGTGTGCTGGCCCCTGCTGGAGCAGAATATGCAAAAGGCACTTTGCATGTGTTCCATGAGCCCCAGCGGCTTCATAGGTAGGGACTGCAGTCAGAGACAATCCCTTTAATGTACCCAGAGGTGATTCCTGCTCCCTCTTCAGCAGGCGACTTCTTGAGCTGGGCTTTGAGCAGCTGCGGCGCCGGAGGGGACTTAGCCGACTCCTGCTTCCTCGAGGGTCCTGCACCCACGCCCCCTCCGGGCCTCAGCTACAGCGGTAGCTTCTTCATTCAGGCAGTACCGGAACACCCGCACGACCCGGAGGCACTCTTCAACCTCATGTCGGGCATTTTAGGCCTGGCACCCTTCCCCAGCCCTGAGGCGGCAGCTTCCCGGTCCCCACTGGATGCCCCATTTCCCACGGGCCCCGATGCCTTGCTCTCGGGTCCGCCGGACCTTTACTCCCCGGATCTGAGCGCAGCTGCTTTCTCAGAGGCGTTTTGGGAGGCTTCGCCTGCCGCTGGCGCCCCCTCGCAGTGCGTGTATGAGCCTCAGCTCTCTCCGCCCGACGTCAAACCCGGTCTTCGGGCCCCTCCGGTCTCCCCGGCGCTGGACGCTGCCTCGGCCTTCAAAGGTCCCTACGCACCCTGGGAGCTGCTTTCTGTTGGGGCCCCAGGGAACTGTGGGTCACAGGGAGGCTACCAGGCCGCCCCCGAGGCTCGTTTCCCCGCGATAGGAACCAAGATTGAAGACCTGCTGTCCATCAGCTGCCCCGCTGAGTTGCCGGCCGGCTCAACCAACAGACTGTACCCCACTGGGGCCTACGACGCCTTTCCGCTGGCCCCGGGTGACTTAGGGGAGGGGGCCGAGGGCCTCCCGGGGCTCTTGACCCCTCCTAGCGGGGAGGGAGGGAGTAGCGGCGACGGCGGAGATTTTCTGGCGGGTACACAGCCTCAGCTTTCCCCGCTGGGCATTCGCAGCGTCGCCATCACGGACTTTCCAAAACCTCTCGTGGCCGAAATTTCCGGGAGCAGTGGCGTGGCCGCACCACCGGTGCCGCCGCCGTCGGCCCCTTTCTCCCAGGCCAAGGCGCGGCGCAAGGGGCGCCGAGGCGGCAAGTGCAGCGCGCGCTGCTTCTGCCCGCGGCCTCACGCCAAGGCTTTTGCTTGCCCGGTAGAGAGCTGTGTACGGAGCTTTGCGCGCTCCGACGAGCTCAATCGCCACCTGCGTATCCACACGGGCCACAAGCCCTTCCAGTGCCGCATCTGCCTCCGCAACTTCAGCCGCAGCGACCACCTCACCACTCACGTGCGCACCCACACTGGCGAGAAGCCCTTTGCCTGCGACGTGTGTGGCCGTCGCTTCGCGCGCAGCGATGAGAAGAAACGGCACAGCAAGGTGCACCTTAAGCAGAAGGCGCGCGCGGAAGAGCGGCTTAAGGGCCTCGGCTTTTATTCGCTGGGCCTCTCCTTTGCTGCCATGTAATCGGGAGCCAAGTTTGGAGGTTGGGCTTGGAGTTGGGGCGTCGCCACTTGGCGCGCACAACAAGATCTGACCTGTTCCCCTTCCCCGGTCTTCCCATCTTGCCCTCGCACGCCTCGGGGCAGGCCTCCAGTCCTGTTTCCAGTTACCTTCAAACAAACGCCCGCCGCACACGCCCCGTTCAGCACTAGCTGCGTGGATAGCTCCTGCAGTCCAAGAGCTGTCTCCCTGTCTGCCGCGCTTTGGGGAAAGTCCTCTTGGACCATCCACTGAGTAGGCACTTTCTTGGAACTCAAGACAGTCTTTTGTAACTGGCGCGCGCCCCACAGCCTCTTGTATAACCCCCCAGAGATAGGGTGGGGCTGCGCTGAGCCGGTCTCGCGCGGAACTTTGTACAGCAATGTCGTTTCCAGAAGCCGTTGTATGTAACGTTTTGCTTTGGGGTTATTTTCTTTTTGTTGTCGTTAATTTTTGTAAAGCAGACGCTACTATTAAGCAGTTGACAAAACTGTTTATTTTTGCAATTAAAATTATTGTGCTAAAAGCTTATTGAATCTTCCGTGTAAGCAACGCCTGACCTAGGAGAATATGTGCCAGAAGACAAAGGTCCCTATGCTCATGGGGTACAGGCCCTGAACATATTCCAAACCTACTGTCAAGCACGGCTACAATGCAGTGACACATAGTAGGCATTCAATAAATATGTATTGAACTAATGAATGAATTTAATCACAACTGACTGGAAGACTAGAGTTGGTTCTGGAACTAGAAGGTGGTTGAAAGCTGTAGGTGTTAAACACTGTGCATGTATTATCCTGCTTAATCCTCAGAGATTAAGCTGCATAAACCCCATTTCAAAGGTGAGGAAGCAGTGTAAGTAAATTTCTGGGTAACCCAGCTAGAAACAGGATCAAACAGAGCTGACTCCCAAAACCAGTGTTCATTTTCCCACACCAGAATGAAGGCGTCTGAGCTTAATACAACTGTCTGAAAAGGCTTCCTACTAGAAAGCTAGAAACAGGTTTGGCAACTAGAGGGAGCCCTCGGCAGTACCGACAGCGGCACAGTTGTAGTATTTCAGTGTTTTTGAATACACAGTGTTTGTTCAGTGTCACATGTGTGTCAGCCAGTGTCTGTGTATCAGTTCAAGAGTCACATGATGTAAGGGCCAGAAGGGTCTCAGCATTCAGCTGGACCACTTCTGAGTGTGCCAAGAAGCAGGCCCTGCCAGAAGCTCACAGCTGGTTGCTCTTCCCATAAAAGATCTCAAGGAGGCAGCAGCCAGCACCTGCCACAGTCCTTTGCCAGGCTTTCCTTCCAAATGATCCCTTCAGGGTTTAGGGGAGGATCAACCAGCAGAAGGTGAGGAAAACATGATCCTGTAATGGGGAAGGTGAGCCTCCCTCTTTTCCTCTCTGAACTCTCCCCAAAGCTTTTAGCTTTTTTCCTCCCACTTTGGGAGTTCTATGCCCCCATCTTCCCCCCCTGGTGACTCTTGTCTTCTAAGGCAGGAAGAGGGCCTGTGTCTGACATTCTTTCCCCTTCTAAGCTGAGCTGTTCCTGGACACAACACAGCTGTAGGAGGCCAGATCAACCCAGCCTGTGATCCCGTGCTCCCTTCAACCTCCTCAGCACTGGGAATTGAATCGAGGACCTTTACACTGAACTGCATCCCCAGCCTTTTTTTTTTTTTTTTAACTTTTTAACTTGGAGACTGGATCTCACTAAGTTGATAAGTTGCCCATGCTGGGCTTAAATTTATGATCCTCTTGTCTCAGCTTCTTAGAGCGCTGGAATTACTGGTGTGCACCACCACACCCAACTGTCCTCCAGCTTCTTCACCCCTCTGCTCTCACATACACTCACCTTCCACCCCCACAGTCCAACTGAGAAACTAACCCACTCAGAGAATTCCCTCCCTTTTTTCGTTTTTGAGACAGCATCTCACTATATAGTTCAGGCAAGCCTTGAACTCACTTTTTAGCCTATGCTGGGTGCCTGCCTCAGCCTCCCAAGTGCTGAGATTACAGGTGTGCACCACCACACTTGGCTCATCCCTCCTCTTTTCTCTCTCCAGATACTAAGTGCTTTCACAAACCTGAAAATCATATCTAATAAGCTAATTTGGCGTTACCTCTTCTAGAAGAATTAGCATTTTAGAAGAGTAGCCTGAAGGGGTCAATGTGTAACCCATGGAGTGGCTCAATAATGGATTGCCAGGCAATGTTATAGGTAAATATGGATTCCAGAGAATAAAATAATGGTGACCCTCATTGTCTTAACTGCTGAAGTGACTGGACCATTCACAGGCATGAACTACCTGACCTTGCTTTCCATGTGCAGTAGGGTAAGGAATAGCATAAAGGCCCATATTTTAAGCAGCTGGTCACAGACCATACAACCTAAATAAACAAAAAGTCTGCATAGGCTATGGGTATTTGACTTCTGAACACTATCCTTACTCCTTCAGCTACATTCTTTAAGTGTTTTTTTTGTTTGTTTGTTTTGTTTTTTGCTATGCAGTTCAGGCTGACCTTGAGCTCACTTTGTAGCCCAGGCTGGCCTTGAACTCACAACGATCCTCCTGCCTCAGCCTCCCAAGTGCTGGGATTACCGGGCTGTGCCACCACGCCCAGCTCATTTTTCAAGTGTTGTCAGCTTTCTTACATCCCATCTTGTCTTCATACCCTTACGTTAGGCCTAGTATTACTGATGAGGAAATAGAACTTTAAAGAAGTGACTTAGTAGTAGTCCTGGTATCAGGGCTGTCATAGTTTGGGGTTTTGCAAGGGGAACAGTATAATACAGGACACATACTTTTTTTTCAGGACATATATTTAATAAGATTATTTATAATAGTCACCCAAAGAATCATATACAAAAAGAATGCAGGAAATTGTCCACACACTAAAGACCAAAAAATCCAGCTGAGGGCTTGGATCCCACAATAATGTCCTGCGTGAGTCCAGCTGAAAACCTACAGCCCATAACAATGCCTCCCATGAGTCCAACTGGAGGCCTAGAGCCCATGACAATGTCTCATGCCAGCCTGTTTCACAGATCTGTGCTGGGAAGGCCCAAAGGTCAGTGGTGGAAGCTAGAAAGTCTGTGCAAGCAGGATGAGGGATCTGTGCTAGCAGGCTGAGGGATCTGCACTAGAGCCAGCAAAAATGCTCAAAGTGAGAACCAGAGCTCTCCCAGAAAGTACCACAGCCATCCTCAACAACAGTGAGTTCCCAAGCTCCTCCAATTATGAGGGAAGCCGAGCTCCCATCAGGAAAGCCAATGAGACAAGCTTCTCCAGGAGACTGAGCAGTGCACCATCTTCCCCTGGGAGCCAGGAAGCAATGCTCAAATTGAGGACCAGAGCTCCCCCAGTGAACCATAGCCATTCTCAGTGACGAGGAGGTCCTGAGCTTCTCCTCTCAAATTGAGGACCAGAGCTCCCCCAGTGAACCATAGCCATTCTCAGTGACGAGGAGGTCCTGAGCTTCTCCAAGTTCATCAGGAAAGCTGGTCTGACAAGCTCCTCCAGCAGAATAGGCCAAGAGAACCAGCAGCTCTCTCATAGCTTCCCAACAGCTTCTACCAGTTCCCAACAGCCTCTCTACAGCTTCCCTAACAGCCTCTTATGCTACTGGCAACAATCCTCAGGTGGGCCTCACACACCCAGTGCCACGCTGGTTCAGTTCAGCTGGGTGTTACAAGTTGACCGCAAGTTGTCAGTCCACCACAAGGGCCTAGTCTGGTTCTAGAACTCCCAGCCAAGTAGTCCTCCTGTGTCCCCATTTACTGACACTTGCCCTAGGGATCTTGAGGGAAGAGGGAGTTAGGCCAGAGACGGAGAGAGCAAAGTCAAATAATCAAAATCAGCCAAGTCCAGGACCCAAACAGCATTGGGAGCTGTCAGAGAACTAGTTTTTCCTTACTCCTCATTTTTGTCTAATTCTCAAAATGGGAGCATCTCTCCAAACTCAGTTTTTAATTCTTTTCTCCCTCATTTCAACTCTGTCCTTGGAGTGCATAGTCATTGCTAGTTTTTAAACCATCAACCTTGCCTAGATGACTTCTAAATCAGACCATCTCTCTATGGGTGCCTACTGCCATTTCAGATACAACCTATCTAAAATTAAATCATCCTTCCATTTGCCCAGTCAATCCCTGTTAATGTGACAATCATTTGTTTAGTTCTCTAAATTCATCTAAGGTAACTAGAGTTCTGTAGAGATCACCTTTTTTCCTTCTTCACCCACATATTGAAGCTACCACCCAGGGGATCTTATTGACATCCTTCAGGATCTTACCCAGTCTCATTCATGGCACACTATTTTCTTGTGTGTATTGTGATTTTTACTTTGTGAGTTCATCTTCAATGGGGATTTACCTGAGTAGCATTATTCTGTGGCCTACGTTGAAAGTATGTTTTTCCTGTAGCTTTGTGTTTGCTTCTGCCAGGCACTCTAAGAGTATCACCTGATGGTGATCAATCATTTGTTAATTTCTTGGCTTGGGGTTCTGGTAACTTGCTGGTATTCTGACTTCAAACTCCAGCTCAAGTACTTAAAATTTTTCAGAGGCAGCTCAGTCTACTCCATCAAGGGTTCCGATCATAGGAGCTGGGGATTTAGCTCAACGGCACAGCACCTGCCTGGCAAGCGTAAGGTTGTGAGTTCGATTCCAGGTACTGGAAACCCGCCCCCCCACCAAAAAAAAAAAAGGGCCCAGATCAGGACAGACAAGCAATAGACTTCTTCATCCTTTCAGAGGTTTGTCTCAAAACATCTTGTGCTTACATTTCTTTTTGTGTGTGTGTGTGTGCTTACATTTCTTGTTCCCAAGAAAAATTTTAAAAAATTCATATAGATTTTATTTCCTTTCTAGCAAGCTCAACTAAGCACATTGTGAAGCAGTCTACATATTCTGTAGCAAGTCTTTGAGTTATCCAGTTGACAGTGTTGCTGAAAGCTTAAGCCAAAAGATGTTGATTCCACTACTAAATTATTTCCTACATCTTCTGTATGCCTATTGCTAGCACCTCAGTCTCTGTCAGTGATGGCAAACCTTTTAGAGCTTTCAGTGATACAAACAGCCTGCTGTGGCATGTGTGCCATAGGTTTGCCACTGCTGGTTCATGCCATCCCTTCCACATCCACACACACCTTGCTATGATAATCACATAATAATAATATAGTTGGATGGAGCATGTAAGAATGTTTCATCCATATCCTCACTGTATAGAAAAGAAAACTGAGGCCAAGAAATTTGGGGATTTTCCTAAGAGCACACAGTAGGAGACTACAGTGGACCTTGAACATGAGCCCTCTCAGTTTCAAGACTAGTGCATATATGAGATATGATATACGAGATGCGATAAAAAATATATATATTTAAATTTTTGAAAATTTATTACAGTAAAAGACACTGTTTCATTATTCCCTCAGAATACTCACTTTGAACACACTTGTCCCAGCATTTTCATAATTTTCTGAAGCAGTTCTGGAAGTCTTCTTTTGCGAGAATCTTTAGTTGTACTGTCATAGCTGCTGTGATGTACTGAACT